CTTCTTTTTGCGGATACAGACTAACACGGCTGTTACTCTGAAACCTGTCACCTTGGAAAAGAGATGGCTAAGGGGGGAATATGATAAAGGTCTATAAAATCTTGACCGGTGTGGAGAAAGTGAATAAGGAAGTGTTAGTTAGTCCTTTACATAACACAAGAACTAGAGCTCACCCAATGAAATTAATAGGCAGCAGGAAGTACTTCTTTATATAATGTACAGTCAACCTGTGGAACTGGTTGCCAGGGGATGTTGTGAGGCCAAAACAATAACAGGGTTCAAAAAAGAACAAGGTAAGTTCCTGGAGGATAGGCCCATCAAGGGCTATTAGCAGGATGGGCAGGGATGCAACGCCAAGCGTTGAGTGTCCCTAGCCTCTGTTTGCCAGAAGCTGGGACTGGACGACAGGGGATGGACCTTGTGATGATTCCCTGTTCTGTCCATTCCCTCGGGGGCACCTGGCACTGGCCGCTGTCGGAAGACGGGACACTGGGCTACATGGACCACTGGTCTGACTCAATATGGCTGTTTTTATGTAATCTCTTCATGCTCCATTTAACCCCCTCATGCATCCTTGACCCCCATCTCCTCGTGCCCTGCACCAGACTATACAGCACTGCACAGACAAGCTGCCCTCAGTTCCTCCTCTGCCACAAAGTCCCATACGGGAACTCTGAAACAGTGGAAACAGGGCGGGTGGTGGGGCACCCACAGGGACACACATCTCGAAGATCTCCAGGGACTGCACAGGGGAATTACCTCTCCTTCTTCTTCGAGCAGTGTCCCTACATGTGCCCCACTTCTGGGGACTCCTGAGCAGAACCCCCGGCTGGGGGAAGGGGCTTTGGAGCCAAATCCAAGACTGAGGACCGAACTGCATTTCCAAGGGCAGCATTTGGTCAAGAAGCCTGTGCCACCACACAATGCTTGGAAAAGGTACCTGGGAAACCAAGATGCAGCCGTGCAAATCTCCACAACGGGAACTTCTCTGAGTAACACGGCAGAGGTAGAAAGGGATCTGGTGGAGAGGGCCAGCACCCTGGAGGGAGGTTGTATGTTGACACATTCAGAGCATGATATAATACAAGGAGAAACCCCCCTGGAGAGTCCCTGTGTGGCGAGTGTTGACCCTTTAGATGTACAGCAATAGACACAAATAATCTAGATGACTTGGTCCTGTCTAGATAGACAGCGAGTGCCCTGCCAACATCCCGGGTGTGTAAAGCAGCATCCTCCTCTTTGTACTAATGTGGTTTAGGGAAAGAGACTGGGGGATGGATAACTTGGTTGATACGAAACTCAGATGAAACCCTGAGTAAAAATTGAGGATGTGGACACAAGAAACCTTATCCTTGAAGAGCGCTGTAAATGGAGTGTCTCCATTAGAGCCCCTGTTTCCCACGCCCTTTACCCAGGCGTGCGAGCCACCAGGAAGGCCAGAGCCTCCAGCACACGTCCTTCCTCCTCCTCAGTCAGCCCCGACGGAGCTGAGCTGTGCTGCCTCCTTCTATCTGCCCCTCCAGCTGGAGAATGCGCAGCCGTGGGGCAGGCAGCGGGGGGTCTTTGGGGCCCACAGTGATTGGTCGGTCGCTGCTTGCCCAGTGCGGGGTTGATTCTTTCTTTCTGCCACAGGGTGTAAGACAGAAGAAAGAGAGATCAGACGAGGTACGAGCTCTGACTCCTCAGTGGGCACACGAATATTCCGTCCCAGGCCCAGGAGGAGAAGAAGGAACTGAGGGTGGGTGGCCCACGCAGACCTGTATAGCCTTGGAGCGGGGCACCGGGAGACGTAGGGCGTATGCATGGGTCGAACGGGCACTACTCTGAAAAGTCTCCAACCAAAGCGCCATGAGGTGTAT